TCAAGTTTTGTCCCTATTGCTCCTTTCATTTCCATTTCTGGTGAGAAGCTTGCTAGTGAGAAGTGGAGAAGAAGTTGGGAACTGGGCATTGATCATTTGCTTCCTCTTTTCCTCGGTTTCTGCACCATTTTGAAGCCTCATAAATGGGGTCCCCTGTCTTCACCCTATATATAGACAACATCTCATTCCCTTTCTCTTTGCCTCAATATTCGCACTGTACCCAAAAGAAGTAGAATGCAGATGTGTATTACGGATATTACGGGTACCCGTTTTACCCAAACGGGTATTAACGAGTAACCCGTGGGTACGCGTTGTAGAAATTATGAATCTCAAGTCCCATCCCATTAAAATAAAATCGGTATTCGGATACTCGTAACCCTCAAAAAACGGGACGGATATGGGTATACCCAAATACCCGTTTACCATTGCCCACCCCTATTAGTGTTCTTCCCATTTGAAATGTTCCAAGCACATCCTTTCCGGATAATAGGATTAGCTTTGGTTATGCTTTTCCACCTCATAGTTATTATTAATTAATAATATATAACAATATAATAATATAAATTATTATTAATTAGAGTACATGGCTTCGTCCCTGATCTCTGCAGTGCGATAATCTGGGAAGGAACTGCATCCAAACACTTTGTTATCTCTGCAATGTCATCTTAGCAAAGGAGATAAGATCATGCAAAGACCAAGCTGCTGATGCAAAACAGATACGGAATTTCCATAAACGAAGTCGATAAGCTACATAGATAAATCCTAAACTAGGCAACTGCCAAAACTAGACACGAGTAAACGGGCTTAGGACCAACCAAATAACATGCCCTCCTTGTTTTAAACGGGCTTGGGACCGTCTGTACACCGACAAATCATGTGCACAGGCCAAGTTACATGCATAAATCCTATGCTAAACGACATGCAAAAGGATCGCGAAGCCAAGATAACTCAAAAGGCAATCAAGAGTCGCAAGCAAAGATCAAACTATTGCAGTACTATCAATGTAACAGCCTTGCACTATTACAGGCAGCAACGCATGACCCAAACGATCTCCAATAAGAGGAACCATTAATGTTATATAGTCATCCCATATATCCCAACGTATACACAGTGAAAGCATCAGTACAGTAGCCAACAAGTACACTGATATAAGGTCGCATTATCAACTGAAGCAGAACATGAAGGAAACATAGAGAGACGAGCGACAACGTTGTCAACCAAGAATTTACGGTAGGCACAACTCGACCCAAGACTTTCTAATCCACAAGAGAGCTGACTAGCACCACCACCACCATTATTCACGTTTACGTTCCACACAAACAGCATATCAGGGAGGTCACGCTCAGAGTGGACCTTAGTCTGATGTAACAACACCTCCAACTTTGTGTAGGCCAACCTCCAATTTGGAGAAAGCCAAAGCTCATCACCACCAGTCGAAAGAATCACCAAAATCTCCTGGTAAATCAGCTTGGCATATGTAACCATAGCAACCACACGAATCGTTCACGTAAAGAATTAATAGCAGAACCAGGGGCGAAGCAATCCAAAGGTAGCTTCATTGAGGTGCCCAACAACTGCCAAACTGAAAAAAGTGGTTGGTAATGCAGATATGCACAATGGAATAGCAACCAAGCAAAAACCAACTAACGCACTGCCCCCGAGCTTTCCGATCCTCCCTTGCTGCAGCAATTGTCCTGGAAGACCATAACGCACCAGGAGGACAACCGAAAAACAGATATAAATAAGAGAACAATGACGACAATACTAACAAAATAGCTAAACACCTATCACCTTGAAAGCAGCAGGCCATCAATAGTTAAGCTATGTAAAAAATTAAGATCCAGGACCAAATGAAAGCCTAACAGGAAAACAAGTTAGAGAGCAGAATGCTTGTTAGAAACCAGCCAACTGTGACCAACAAAATATCAATGGAGACGGAGTAACAAAGAATGTTAACCAGAAAGCAACTGAACACCCGAAGCCACTCGAAGTAAACCTAGAATAATAGCAATCCCCAACAGCACAAGAGAAGTAGAGCCACGTCAATTGAAGAACAGCAGAGGCTCAAAATGAAGCTGCAAGTCCGAAGCATAACAAGAGTTTGAGCTGGAGATATCAGACAAAGTACCATGACAAGAGCAAAGATGTAGAAAGATGCAAGGTTAGTACAGAGAAACAACCTCCACAACTACAATCTGCAGATACATAAAACAGGGATGCAACTTCGAAATATAAATTTGTGCACCATAGACAGAAGGACAGCCGTTGGAGGAAGCAAGAGACGCAAGACTTGTGAACCAGACAAGCTCCTTCGCCATACTTGGCCAGGACCAGTTTTCCCCGAGATCACACAGAAATACACAGCAAGAGAATAGAGGTAACCAACCGAAACAGAGATATAATGCTCCAAACAGTTAATAGACAAAAATTACAGTGGAGGAAATAGAGGGGAAGAAGGGCTCATGTCATGACACACTGATATGCAAAGAGCCCAAGATAGAACACTTCTAGCCATCAACCCAGAACAGGGACCACTCCCCGACCTGAAGGGGCACAACCGAAACGATTAGTGAGAAGAGGCCTGATATACGGCCAGCAGAAAAAACATAGAGAGAAAGCAGAGGATATGTCAACACCACAAGCCTATCAAACCATGCTGGTCAGAGACGGAAACTAGTACTTCCAACAAACTGAACGTCGCCCATCACAAACCAGTGTATACTGAGAATGAACAACAATATATCATCAGCTACTATCTTCCATCAAAAAACAACAATATGTCTCCCAGACATTTGCTGCTTTCTTAACTACCAACAGACCTTGGCCAGATAAAAAAGATAAAGCCGGTAAGCTAAGAAACACTTCTCTTCCTTAACTGGACCCCCAAATAGCACTTAATTTTCCTGATCAAAGCCCGGTTAATAACCAGATAGCTGACCTCAGAAGTAGAAGGTGTGCCGAAAGCAGCAAAACCTACAACCCATTAACATGGTAACCAGTATAACCTCAATAATGAAGAATAACACCGACGAACTCACAGTTCAGCACCTAAAAAGTCATTCCGCGAAATAACACCAACAGAAAAGGCAACTTATTATCTTAGGCAGATTGACAAACTTGCAGTAATATCTGCACAGGAAACATAATAACTCCGACGAAGGTAGGTGCAAGATCTCAACAAAATGGTGAACAAAAGGCACTCGCTCAATAGGGAAAATAGATCCTTCGCATAGTCTAAAACATCAAACACAGAGTCGTAAAAGTGAAATCAGAAGACATCAGAATCTCAACCAGGCAAAGCACAAAAGAAAGCAAGTAGATAGAAGGTAATATGAGAACTTAGTTTCAAGGTCAAGATGAAAATTAGGCAGAGCTCAGATCAGTCAAAAGCAAGGCCCCGCCTGGATCCTCGAAGGAGTTAGAAAGCTAGGACACAAGCCAAACCGCCCTAATTCGCCCATTTTGTACCCACTGCATCCTGAGAACACACCAACGAACTGTACAAGTGCACAACTAGGCCAAACAAAACCAACTCCAAAATTACAACCAACAAAAAGCATTGAACGAAGCCACAAACGACAAGTTCATGTTATAAACAACTCCCTCACTGGTCAGATGATGTCAGTTTACCCCCAAACCAGCTCCTGGAGATTCAGAGCAAGAAAAACAGGTAACCACTAACCACCAAGATCCAATTAAAATTAATAATATAATTATTCATTTGGTCAATAATACTGCAGCAAAAGAATGACAAAGAATACTCATCGCTATAGTCGCCCGTTGAAGTCAATTATCCAAGGAATTCAGGATGAAATTGGTCAAGAGTCATTCTCTCTCTCTCACAAAGGAATAATGAGATCAAAAGTCCAACACAAAATTAAGTGCATGGAAGGAGGACTACTAAGTTCAGGTTCTTGCACCCTATGGTGATATGAAGAACAGTCCAAAGCAACACTTTGCAGGAATCACTATTTAGTTGTGCATCAGAATGAACTATAGTAATTGGTCTCTAATACTGCTAGAGAAGAACGAAACCGAATACTCATAGCTATAGTAATCTGCTGCAGTCAATTACTCTATATCGCATAGTAAAGGAAATTATGAAATCTAAAATCTAACTAGAGAAATTGAAGGAAAGAGAAAGTAAGTTACGGTTCCCACATCCCCTGAATGTTATGTAGAACAGTCCAAAGCAAAACCCTGCAGGAGTCCATATACTTGAACATGGCAGCTATAAAAACAACAAATCAACGGGAAAGAAAAAATAGAGACAAAATAACCAAACCCTTCCCATCCTGTCTGTCCTGTACCACTGTACCCTGAGAAACACAGAGCTCCATGTCACCAATCCAAACTTCAGAACATCCCAACCATAAGAGAGTTGACAGACGAGTCAGATGCTGATCGCCTGCCTCCGTCAAACCGCAAGCTGTCATCAAACAATCATTTAACTGATGACTCATTCTAAGATAGATGTTGCAAGAAGAACAATGAAAATATGAAGGCAAGGGCAACTCATGTCTTGAAATTGTTATATGTGTATCATCCTCCCTCTAAAAATGCTCCAAGCCAGCATAGTACCAGTCCACGTCCACTGAGCAAACGACTTGGCAATAGAAGACAAACCCAGAATTACCACCAACAGAAATTATAGACGGATCCATAGGAAAATAGGAAAATCACAGATCTAATATAAGCAACTACTCCCTTATCAGATATACGGATCCAGTTCTTTCAATGAACTCCAGTCAGTCCCTGAAGCTCCAAAAAGACAGAAAGATGTGAAAACCAACATGTCCAATTAAAAAAAGAGAATAACCAATGGGTCAAGGCTCCTGCATCCTGAAATATGGGGATAACCAACATGTCCAATTAAAAAAAACCTGACATAATCATCCAGCAACTCCATTATCGCATTAGGACGACGCGAAGATACATATCAGTATAGGAGGCCCCTCCTTGAGGTCAATTAGTCGGGGAAAACATCTATTAGTGGGTTAAGGCTACTGCATCGTGAAAGAGCAAGCTTTCCGACCTGCAGATGACCAATCTCCAAATAAACCCCCGGTACAATATGGTTTTGATCATCAACGAATGCAGAAAGAAAGGAAGACCAGCGCATGTAGCTATGATAATAGGAGGACACGGTCGATATAACTCCCTCACCGACAGATCCAAGGAACTACCGTGCATCCTAGAATAAATCAACAAGAAGCAACAAATCAACCACTGCCAAACCGAAGGAATTGAAGAATTAATTTACTCTACGGATAGAGAAGAGTATCGATGACAGCGCTTCGAAGTCCTAAATCGGAGCAAACGAGAAAAAAACATATGAACCACCGCCAATCTGATCATTGATCAGAAGTACCTTGCATCAGACAAGCAAATCGCAAACTAATCGAAGGTAAAATCGCAACGAACAAGTTCCTCGTCTCTGCAGATTAATCAACATGCAAGTGAACGGCGCCAGGAGACGCTCTTCAATAATAGTTCTAAGATGAATCCACAAGGGAAAGGAAAAACCAGTCCTGCGGCCGATCGACGAAGCAGAGGAACGACCAGGATAGCAAAAATCCAGCAGATTTCCCGTCGCCGGAACCGGTTCAGATCCTAGATCGTCCAACAAAGCAACACATGAACAGAACTTCAATCCAGAGACAAAGATCGACATCTTCATTAACGATGGATAAAATCCATCGCCATCAAATAATGAGTCCAGAAGAAAATCCAAATCATCGAGGAAGGGAGCGCATGTAGAATCAACAAGCAGAAGCAATTTCCAGAGAAGCAATTAGAGAACGTAATAGATATAGCTACGGCGGAACTGCGATCAGAGAAGCCAAGGCAAGAGCCGACAGCATAAAATCCATCCTAATTCATCGAGAAGCTGGAAATACGAAAAGGAGAGAGCAGTAAAGAAGACGAGAAGAAGATGGACGAAAAATCAAGATCGTCGGCGTCGTCGACACTATGACAATAACGGGGAAAAGGAGATCAGAGAGCGGCCATCGCAATTATTCTGAGGAATGTGAATGAAAACCGGGAAAACGGATAGTATTTATAGGCTGGGGGCTGTAGAGATGGAGGGCTGGGATCAAAGTCGGCTGTGATTTTATTACTAGTTTTTTCTATTTTATTGATTTTCAAAGTCGGTTGTTAACGAGGATTTGATCTGAGGCGGTGGGCTGGCGTGAATTAAACGCGTATTTGTTTCTTTTACCTTTCCAACTTTGTTCTTTTTTTTTATTCATTCGAAAATCATGGAAATAAAAAAAAAATTTATTTTATGAAAATAAAATAAGAATGTTTAACAAGTGGCTTCTGCCTACTGGAAGGTAATAGAGGACCAGTAGTCCAGCACCAGAAGCAGAAGCACGAAACAGTTTCTTGGTGAAGCCCACGGAATGGGATTAGACGCTAACCCTCCAGCACCAGAAGCATAAGCACAAAACAATTTCTTGGTGAAGCCCACGGAATGGGATTAGGTGCTAACCTCTTAAAGTTTAGCACTTAGCACCATGCTAACTTGTTTAAGAGTCATTAAATTAAAACAATAAAATACTAAGATCAAAATTAAGTAAAGGATATTTTAGTAATATTACTTCCTAATATATAACATCTCTTACCACCACTCCCATAGGTGTCAATCGGACAGGTTCGGGCTGGGTTCAAACGGGTTGCGGGTTCAAACGGGTTGCGAGTTCATTGGGTTCGGGTTCAAATGGGTTGTGGGTTAGTCGGGTTGCGGGTTCATCAGGTTCGGGTTCAATAGGGTTGCGGGGCAAATCGGGTTGCGGGTTCATCGGGTTTTGGGTCGGGCGGGTTGCAGACGGATCGGGTTACGGGTTGTTAGGGTCAGCGCATCGAGTAACTTACTCATTACTCGTTACCAACTTACACATTTTATTACACTAATTTAAAATATGTTTCTCAACTTTTTAACCAATTTCTTTCTAACTCGTATATATATACTTAATTAAAAAACTAGTCAAAATGTTGAATCAAATTGTATGACTTGCAAACTTGTTATGTAATTAATCGTAATTGGTAAAGTACACTAGCTAATAGTAATGGTGATATCAACATTCGCAACCAAAAGACACCATTAATTGTTTATTTGATATTTTAGTATTCTTTCAGTAGTAATTGGATTAAAGTATCACGTTTAGTATAACCATGCAAAACTGGTATTTGGTGTGTGGTATTTGGCTAAAGCAGAGTGATAAAAAGAGTTATTTTGAAATAACTCATTGCCCAAATAACTTCAGTAAACTGTTGCCAAACAAGTTATTTGTAAAATTGTTCGAATTATCCTAAAAATTGAATCATTAAAAATTAACTATAAAATTTAGTAAAATTGTTGTGACTTCAATCATAACTTATTCAATCACATATATCCTATACACTTAGCCTTACCACCAATCGACAATATTAAGTTAGTGTGTGTTGTTGATCGTATACTCTAAACCATCAATACATTATACACTAACCACATACCCTATACTCTAACCATATATCCTTATGAGTTGTGATTTTGCTAGTATAGTTAATTTAAACGTGAAATTCATACTTTGATTTTCAAAACACAGATGAAAAAGTGATATTTGCTAATTGTTATACACTTACCATATATCCTATACTCTACACCATATACCTTGTACCCTAAACATGTACCATAAACATAAATTAAAAAGGGATCTCCTGCCGTTAAAGACTTCAAATGATTTCAAGTGAAAATATGTTAACAAGAAACTTAGAACCGTCAAAATCATCAATACCTTATACCCTAACCATATACACCATAAACCATCTGTACCTTATACCCTATACCCTAACCATATACTTTATACCCTAAATAACAGAACAGTCAAAGATTACTTATCAAGTTTAGTATAATTGTTAGCTCATATTCACCCGCCCATAAATTTTCCATTCCAAAGTTCCCACCCAAATGTCTCTCTCATTTCTCATTCCAAAGTGACCCGCAAGGCCGCAACCCGATTAACCAAAATTTTCAAACTCGTAACATGACTGAGTTATTACAATCGTATGACTTAACATGCCAAGTTTACCTCCCATTTTGAAATAAAAGTTCAACACGAACACAACTTAAATGTACCAAAATTTTACTAAGTGTTGTAAAACAACGATCATGTAGTGTTGAAGTTGCAATAAATGTAGAAGTATAGAAAACAAGTAGACAAATTAAGTGATATGTAAAACAAATGATTGTTGTAACTAATGATTAATTTAGTTATTATCCCATAAACAATTACATACATATATATATATATATATTAGCCTTCAAAGTATATAAGAATAAATTTAACTAGTCATGCCCTCCATATAAAAATTAAGGATCCATATTTCATAGGCTAAATTTTTGAAAACCCAAGAAGTTGAAAACACCAAATTTGTTTCCTCCTTTCTTTTCACAAAAAAAAAACAACTAAAATTTCCCTCCTTTCTCCTTCCATAAATTAGAAACACTCAATTTTTCCTCTTCTTTCTCTTCCATAAAATTGAAGAACCAAATTTCCCACTTTCTTTCTTTCTTACACAAAAAGTTGAAAACTCAAAATTTACCTCCTTATTTCTCTTTCATAGTCAAAAGAACCAAACTTTCCCACTTCTTTCTCTTCCCACAAATCAAAAACACCAAAATTCTCTCATATTTAATTTCTAAAAAATTCAAATAACCAATTTTCTCTCTTCTTTCTCTTCACAAAAAGTTGAATACACCAAAATTTTCCTCTTCTTTTAAAAGCATCAAATTACCAAATACATTACTGTACTTTTTTTTTCCGTTGAATTAGCCGCTTTTTATTCCCAAAGTGAAACTAATACAACGAACACGGGATAATATCCCAAAGTCTCAACATCTCACTCATAGCACTATATCACCCCCCCCCTCCTGTACCTACTGTGTAAGTAAAAACACAACTGAAAATAAAAGCAGCTAAGCTACTCCTGTGACAAGCAAAAACACAAGTCTATATATATCCCAGTACCCGCAAACTATCTCGAGCCCCTCTGTCTCCATAAGTGAGAAAGACAAGCTCCTGCCTGATCAACTCTGCAACCTGTTTAGGTGAGCGACTAGTATTACCATGTATAACCCCACATCTCTCCTTCCAAATGAATGACACAAATAAACACCACATAAGCGCTTTCCAGATGTTTGAATGAGAGCGCTGTGTTGAAACAAGATCATGAACCATAGAATCCCAGGTAGGACGAAGAAGGGACCTGCAATTTGCTTCAGCAGCAAGAACTGTGGCAAACTGACATTGAGTGAAAAGATGCCCTCTGCTCTCTGTTCCTTGATCACAAAGCGGGCATGCCGCATCCCTTATTCTCCCCCATTTCTGCAGTTTATCTCTTGTGACAATGGCATTCTTCATTACCAGCCAAGCAAGTATGCTGTATCTAGGAGGACACCTACTACTCCAAATCAGTTTAAACCATGGAACATCAGCCAGCCAAGCAAGTATTACTGTACTTTATTTATATGTAATTGATAATTTTATTGAATAGTTAAATTAACCAAAATTTTAATTTATATATTATATTAATATATTGTTCATTATCTCAATTATTAATTCTTCATTATTAATATTGACACTGTGTTGATTTTATATTTCATATTACTTTTTAATTTTGTTAAAAAATTTAGTATACAAGTGACGTTCATGTTTCAATTTTTGTAATTTTCTTAAAATACATAATATCACATGAGTTGCATATTTTTAAAATCCCCTATACGAAAAGAAAAATAAATTTTACCTAAATTTAGAATGTAAAACTTTATTTTCAAAAACTATGTATTGTATAATATAATAATTATTTCAAGTGGATTAGGTGAAGTATGGGTTGAGTCGGTCGGGTTACGGGTTAGTCGGGTTCGGGTTTAATCGGGTTGCGGGTCAATCAGGTTCGGATTAATCGGGTTGCGGGTTCGTTGGGTTGCAGGTCAATCAGGTTGTGGGTTGTTGACTTTTAGTCAATTCGGGTTGCGGTCGGGTTGCGGATCGGGTTAATCGGGTCGAGTTGCGGGTCGGATTAATCGGGTCGGGTTTTGTTTTGACACCTATTCCATACCCCACTCATGGCCGCCTCCCCTCTTTCCCCTCTTTCTACACAAATCATCTCTTCCCTCTCCCCTCTATCTACAGAACCGTCTCTGTGTGGCGACGGAGAACATGAACGAGAGGCCCAAAGAGACATGCAATGATGGGATGCGGCGACGGGAGAAGAATGGTAGCCGGAGATAGCGAGGGAGGAGGCAGGCGGTGACGATGGTGGCGGAGGCTGCTTGCGGCAATGAGAGAAGAAGTTGCGTTGATGGCATGCGCCGACGTCTTTTTCTCCATTATTTGCACCGTAGGCGGCGTAGAGAGAGGTAAATTTTGAATCTGCCTTCCCCCAATGCTCGTCGATGCCCTAGTTCAACAGATCTAGGGCCACCGTGGATCAAATCCAAACGCCGATGTCTGGAGCTGTTGAAGGGAACAACAAGATTTGTCTGGGCGCATGTCTTTGCGGCATTGCTGAGGCGGGAACGACTTATTGGGTCATACTGAAGTGATCTTTGACGGTGGGCGACTACGTATTGGGGAGAGCCTACTTGCTGGGATCATGCAGGCCTGAGGAGGGAAGATACTTTGATTATATGTAGTAGTTATATATTGGTAGCGATTTGTATGGACTAATTATGTATTAGTAGTGATTTTTATTATAATGTGTAGTGTTTGTTTACAAATATTAGTAGTTGTTGGTATGGTCATAATAATATTTTCGTTCTTAGTGTTAATAGTTATATGAAAATCACTATCGAACAGTATAAAAAACACTACTATCAATCCCAAAATCATCCATCGGTTTTATTACAACACCTTAAATCACTACTACTAACAATAAAATCACTACAATCAATCAAAACCGCTACTAATTTAAGTATAAATGAATTTAGTGTAATTTTCTGAGCCGAAAATGACTAACAAAAGAAGGAGAGAGAAAATATATTTTAGATTTTAATTAATTTTTAATTTTTTGAAATAACCCAATTCATTAATAACCAGCGTCAGATTTGATTTAAAAAATGATGGTGATTAGAGTAGTTAGTATGGTGCTAACTCCTATTAAGTTAGGACTTTTACTTCTCCTTGAAGCCCACGCATACATTTGTATTGGGTTTACCAGGCCCAATTAGATTGCCGCGTCCCATAAACCATCAGCACAAGTTCATTACTGTTCGGTCCAGTCGCAACTTAGAAGTAAGAAACCAGAATTAAAGGGGAATTAATTATGTTACTATATGGTTAACGGGGACAAAAGAATCATTGGCTAATCTCATAATCATCTCAGGTATAAATAGGGAACAAAATTTGAAGAAGGATTAGAGGCCCATAACAAAATCAAGCCTCATCATCACCAGTGGAAGAAATGGTTCTTTTTACCGAAGGCTTGGCCTTACGTAGATGGCCAATACTATTAACAAGATCCTTCCTTACGCAAACTGGGAACATGTTGACGTCTTTAAGTACTTTCAGTCGCCACAGCACGTAGGGAAAGCTCAGCTGGTCACGCGAAGTGAATCGCACTGCTTCGTTGAACCAGATGCACATGAACAGATTGACCACTGGCGTGTGCTCCCTCACAATGATTGAAGCTTCATTCAGAGCTGCAGATGGCAAAGTTTAGTGGTTACAGAGCTGAATTGTTCCAAAATCACAGGCCAGGCAAAAAATCACAGACCAGGCGAACAGAACACTCATTTTAGCTCCTACTGATACGCTAATCATGGCCTAAACTGACCATCTTTGCTAGATGAATATGTTTAAACCATTCGTTTTGTATTCACTTAACGAGTTATTGCTGCAAATGCAAAGCGATTTAATTCCACAAGAAGCAGAGAATAGTGTGTGGATGAAGTATCAGGTACCTTTCTTTCCGTTCAATCTCTTGTCTTCAGGCATACCATCTTTCTTGTACTGAGTTATTTGGACATTGACTTCTTCTGGTCTGGCTTTGTTTTTCTTCACAACAGCTGTAGCCTCGTCATACACACTGCTACGAGCTCCATGTTCTGAGATTGCTAACACGGAATTTGTACGCCAGAGAAGAGCTTCGAGAACACCCAAAGGGTCCCTCCTGAATTGTGACTTTGAGTCTACCCATATAGAGTACTTCGCATTAGGAAAGAGCCGATGTCCCAACATCTGATAATGGGTAAAAAGTAACAAAAACTTAGGTCCAGGCTGCAATTCACAGAATTTGGCATGGACAAACTCCAAGACAGGCCAAAGAAAAGACTATTTATGAACAAAAGCAAAAGCCATTGAACTGCTTTTCAATCAGATTAACTCCTTTGCGTAGAAGTCTGAAACCAACCCTCTCCCTCCGACATACACTTGATTGTGAAAGTTCTCAAATTTGTTAGCTCTCATCCAAAGAACCACGCTCATAATCAGCAATCAGGATAAACCCCATACGTATTACATTCCAGGCAAATCATCACACCTTTTACACAGTGCAACAGGCGAAAGAACTGTCAACATTTCTGTGCTACATTTATACGCGCAACACAACACTGTAAAAGAGTTATAATACCTTTGGGATTTTACCATTTAATCGTTGATCCACAAATGGAAGATCATCCACAAGAACAATGCGCCAATTCCCAATAAACTTATCATCCCCAACAGTGTTTCCTGCATTCTCCTGAGCAGCCAGAGTAATATCATCCCAAAATGCAACATAGCAAACCTGCACAGATGCAAACCAATGAGCTCACCAAAACCTTTCCTTATGTGGAACAGACACGAAGTACGAGCAATCTAAAGAAGCATCACAGACCTTCTGAAGTGATGCATTTAACATTCCAATGGGTTGGTATAGATCATCCCCACCACCAAAAGCACAAGTAGAAACCACCACTTTGCAGCTATCCATATAACTCTGATCAGCTTCAGATACCTTGAACCCTCCAGTTTCACTGAAGAATCCGCAATGTACAGCTGGAGTCTGGTTCAACACAAAGCTTCTGTCCCTGTCTTCAAGGCTCGGGTATCCACTAAACCGATTGAATTTGATTCGTTTCGACCTACGAGTCACGTTCTGTTCCGGCAAATCTTTCTCTGACAAGTATTTTACATTCCTAACCGGACTTTCAATCCCACCTCCGTTAGGGATATCCAGAAGTTCAAGTTCATCCGATGGCCGGAGCTTCAAGCAAGCTGATATACAAGTTTCCATAGATGCAATTGAGAATCCGGAAACGGGAAAGTAACAAGAAGAGCTGAGATGGAAATACACTTACGTTCACGCCCACCATCGACCCATCGGGTAACCGGATCCATCCGATTCAAATTGGGATGGGAAACCTTGGGCGGCTTTTTGAAGATTGGCTCGAGGTCCGGATCCGCCTCTGCTCCCTCCGCGACGAAGCGGTCGAGGTCTTCATCGTCAGCGACGGCCGGTTCCTTGCCGATTTTGGTGGCCTCGTAGCAGAGCAGAACCGCGGCGGGGAGGAAGATGAGCAACGCCCAGTACCTCACGATAAACCTAACGAGCCGCTTGCCCAAATCGTGCCTCACGCGGTGGCTCAGCGGCTTCTTGCGCTTCCTGCGAACTCGGACTCGCTTCCGGTTGAGCTCCTCGTCGTCTTCTTCGTCGGACACCGGAATCGAAACGCTGTTGTTGCCGAACATTGAAGGAGACGACATCGAGGGAGAGGTAGCCGCAAGCAACTTCGGGGAAATGGAGATTCAGCCAATTCAGGATAGGGTGTATTAGCTATTAAGTCGCCGGCCGCCGGAGATTAGCGCAGGTTGCGAAGATCAATCAGCACTCGGTTTATTTGCGAGAGTGAAAGCGGAGATGGGGTCACGACTCACGAGGATACAGCTGCCGAGCTCCGATGTTACATATGTGTTCTTATTTTGCTATGTTTTTTTCTTTCTTTTGAGGACACTTATTTTGCAACGTCAATGTTGGACCAGAGTGCAAAATGCCGAAATGGTTTATATTTAACACTTTTCTTGTTTTTTTTATAACAATAAATAATGTCTTCACAGAAATCTAAGTGAGATCAAGTTAATGAATAACAAGGTTGTCAAACCGCGGGTCGACCCGGACCCGGACGAGCTAGTGGGTCATGGGTCAATGGGTCACCCGATTTAGCCCGGTTTAGCCCGGAAATATGAAAAGAGCCAATATATTCTATTTATCCTGAATCCAACATAAAAAAAATGCAACACTACTTCAACTACAACACACTTAAATAACATCAACTTAAATTCAACATAGTAAAAATTCAACAACACTTAAATCATTCACATAACATCAACTTAAATCCATCATAGTTAAAAATTCAAGAACCCTTAAATCCACCACTCTTAAATCCATCACATAACATCAACTTAGAATTCCAAATAATAAAAGAAAAGTACTCAATCTTCAAAGATAAAGCTATCCATCTCCATCTCCATTGCATCAACAAGATGAGAAATGTCGAAGTCAATTTCATCAGTCACATCATACTCAAAGTCCTCTGCATCAAAACGTGAAATCAAATATTCATAATTATTACCAATTAGAAGATACTTATTATAAGACTAGACTTTTCTATAGTTGCTATAGTAGGCAAACCTTCAACACGAGGACGCTTGTTGGAAGATGATGATGATCCTTGCTCCTCCTCCTCCTCATAAAGAGTCTTTTCGAGCTCTTCATAGTCTATATCTGCAGGTGGATCTTCTTCTACAATCCAAAAATCAATGTTATCTAATTGTTCATAATCAATTGGGTCTTTCGCCCACTCCTTCTTCAAGCACCTACAAGTCAAAGAAGATTAAACAATTAAGTATATGAATATGAAGTGTTAATAACTTTACAATGTTGTATACAATTTAATCATTACCTATTCTTCAACCTCAAATTGTAAGTCACATAAACAAGATCATTCAATCTTTGATGTTCCAATCGATTCCTCCACTTACTATGAATTTGGTCAAACACACTCCAGTTCCGCTCACATCCAGAAGAAGATGATGTTTGAGACAAAAGTCGAATAGCTAGCTTCCTCAAATGTGGAGCATCGTCTCCAAATAGTGTCCACCATTCAGCTTTTCATTCAGGCAAATCATTCTAAATAAGTATATAAACTTTGAAAACATTGTAAGCTTATAACTAAATATGTAACAATTAACAAGTAATTAGAATTGATTACCTGGAGGTAAAGTGGAAGTACACGAGATAGCTGATTTCTTCCCAAAGCTTCCAAGCCTATCTCTAAAAAGTATAATCTCTTGCATTGCTTCTTCTATATTATCACATAGGCCTTCAGTTTCAAGAAGATCAATAAGACAAGTTTGCAAACCACGCTCCTCTCGAGCTTCCTGAGTATATTGAAAAACCGGGTTCAGATAATAAGCACCTCCATAGATACTATATCGAAGAAGCTTATCCCATCTAGCATCAATTAACTTCATATATACATCAGCCCCTCTTCCATTGCCCATAAAAGTGTTCTTGATAGTCTTCTTTATCCTCATCATTCCATCATGCACATACCCCAAAGATGGCTGCTTATAAGAATCAACAATCCTCAACAACTTCACGATTGGCAATGTCAACTTCACAATCACTAAACAATCCTGCCAGAAATTGTTATCCAACACAATTGACTTGATGTGCTTCCCCTCTTTAGACTTTCCCAACTTGTGAGATGTAAAGAAGCTACTTGTAACAAGTTGTTCCAACAGTGGCCTATGATCATACACACTTTTCATACATATGAAGCTTGTAGCAAATCGAGTAGCTCCTGGACGCACAATCTGTTTCCAACCCTCTAACTTTTTCAAAAAAGCTAAGATGGGAAGATGACTATAGACAAACACACTGATCTTCTGAGCTCGTGAAACCAAGTCTGACACATGTTTCATCTTGTAAATATCTTTCAACAAAAGATTAAGAACATGTGCAAGACATGGAGACCAAAAAATGCTCTTATACTTCTCATGAATTATTCTTCCCGCAGCAACATAATTAGGAGCATTATCTGTGACAAAATGCACAATAATCTTTGGCCCAATCATGTCAATCACACCACCAAACAAGTCGGCCAAAGTACTTGCATCCTTAACCTGTCAGATGCATCCACGGATTTAAGAAAACAGACACCTTTTGGACAATATACTAGAAAATTAATCAATGATCTTTGACTCATATCCGTCCAACCATCAGCCATCAAAGTGCATCCAGTAACTTCCCAACTCTTGCGATAATCATGTATGATTAATGTGCATTCTTCTTTGACATCTCTCAACAAAGGAACTCTAAGCTGATGATAAGAAGGTACCTTATATCCGGGGCCAATAGCAATTGCTGCATCAAATGCCATTTGGTAAAATTCAGAGTGTGCAGCATTGAACGGGAGCTTAGCATGATAAAACCATTTAGCCACAATCATATCTGCATTTTTCTTTGCCTCTTTTCCAGCAAAAGCACTTCGAATGCCAGGCTGAGCTCCTGGTGTTGTTCTTGGAGCAAAGAAACTTGGTTGAGATTTTGACATTGTTGAGCTTGTGTTGATTTGCTCATCCGACTCATCAACATCTTCACTTTCATTTAGCTTTCTTGAAACAACTTTTGGTCTATACGACTCTTCAAGCAAAGCCCTAAACCTCACTTGAATATCATGAGTAACTTGTGGGCAAGGACTACCGTCACCTTTTCTTCCAGCCAAATGCTGCTTCACCCTGTTAATCCCTCCGCCTTTAATCACATGACTACACAACAAACATTTATGCCACATTTTTTCTGGTTTCTGAGATGATTCGCTCGGCATAATCCCAAGTTGAATCCTTCTTTTGTCGATATCCACTACGAGCAGCATTGCTACCAACAGACGGTTGCGATGATTCATTGGCATTGCCGGATGCCATTCTCAAAACCTGAATATCACAAAATTGTATCAAACCATAGTTATACGAAAGAAAAAAACCAATCTAAAATTCTTCTTCCATATCAACAATCCCTAACTAACAAATAACAATTGAATTCATTAATTCAACTTCTCCACACATAGGCAATCTAATTCACGTTATCACCTGCCAAAAGTAACCAAACATTCATAAATTAATAAATCAACCAAACCCTTACCAAGAGTTCGAATATCAAACAGAGGGATGAGGTAGAACTCGAGCTGGAAATGGCGACCCGACCTGAGGCAGAGGAAAGTTGATGGCGGCCGCCGGCGAATGGTGGCTCGGAGCTGGAGCTGGCGCGAATTGGTCGAAGGCAGATGGCGGCGCGGCGAAACTCAGCTTGGTCGGACAGAGCTCGAGCGGCTGTGGAGCGGAGATGGAGCGAGTCCTGCCGCCGACGAAGGGGAACGAGGCCCGGCGATGGCGATCGAGCGGCGCCTGTGGGGTGGGAGGCAGAGCTGCGCCGCGAGAATGGAGAGGCGCGATGAAGGAATTAGGGTCGGTAGGGTTTTTTTTTTACTTCAGACCCTGCCCTCCGCCTTCTCCCGGCCAAAACGACGCAGTGCCATTGTCAAAGGGCGCGTATGGAGAAGAATCCAGTGACCCGCTCTGAACGGGCGAACCGCCCGGGTTAGCCGGGTTTGACCGGGTTAGCCGGGTTTGACCAGATCCGGGCTGACTGTCAAAAGGGTTGCATTGGCCCGTTTTTTGGGGCGGGTCCGGGTCAATCCGGGTTGACCCGCGGGTTGACAACCTTGATGAATAATGAGTTTGACGATTTGACAGAGACAGAGTGATGAACGGATTTTGTAATTTTTTCAATGGGTAAAATTGTTTTCTAAATTGAAGATATTTTCCAATAGTGTCTATCGTTGGGTAAATTATTATCCTTTTTTTATTTACCATCAATATGGTAGTTTTAAATTTATTGACACAAATACTGTGTTTTTGTGGGGGAAGGAGAGCGAATTAGCATCAGACTGATGCGGACCCGCTGTATATGTATTTTCGCGTAAAAACAGCGATCTCGCGTAGGACTGGCACGGTGTTGTTGTTTCTCTTTTAAAGTGCGTTGACAGATTCCCTTAACTTTGACCAGCGGACCCGCATTAGTCTCATGCGGATTCGCAACCTTTCCTACCCCACTCCAGCATATATATCATCCTTCATTCGCTTCCTTTTAGTATACTCACCACACCAAAAACTTATACAAAACTGAATGAGAGGGAGGAGCTCTGTTGGTTGCTGCAAAGATGGCTAGGTAAGAGACACATTTATTTTTGTAATTATATTATTAAAATGCTATTATAATTTTCTTTAGTTAGTAATTAGTGAACTTATTTGTTATGTAGTGATTTGAGGAGATTTAAACTAATTGTTTGGTGGAAATCGGAGAAAGTAGAGGACAATTTGAGCGTCTATTTCGTTGGTGGTAGAATGTTTCAGTTGACAGTTCCATGTCGGGTGACATATCATCAATTTTGTGAGAATCTAATCCCGAGAATACGGCGTAGAGATGAAGCAGTACAAGATAGTGATATGATCACAGGTTTCACTTAGCGTCTTCCAGAATGGCATAATGGTGTTCTATTTCATTATGCGATGCCTATTGTGGATGATGATGGCTTGAACGTGCTTTTTGATTTTATGGCACAAAATCCTTATTGTTTGGGTGCTGAGATACATGCTGAGATTAGACAGGCTGATCAGGGTGAAGATGAGTCATGGAGTGTGTCATCTGATCATGATTATGATGACGAAGACGACGAAGAGGAGGAGGAGGAGGAGGAAGATGGGGAAGAAGAGTAGCCTAATTATCCTCCATATTTTTACTTGCAGGCTAATGAAGAGGACGATGAATTATCATATGTATATTCATATGGCGTAATTCCAATGCCTATTGTTACTGGGTTTGAAGGAGAATTCTACAATGGCCAGATATTTCACTCGAAACAAGCTGCATAGGTGGCGGTTAAACACCACGCACTACAACGCAACTTTCAGTATGGCGTGGTGGAGTCGTCACCTTCAATCTGGAAGGTTAGATGCTTGAAGCATAAGGATGACAATTGTCCTTGGATGGTGCGGTTTGGATGTCGATACGTTGGAAGCGAATGAACTGTGAGAAAGGCCGAGTTGGTGCATTCTTATAGCAGTACGACTCAACCGACAAATCATCGCCATCTTGATGTCGACATTATATCTGAGTTCGTGAAACATTTGGTGTGTGCCCAACCAAATCAGAGTGTTCTAAATGTGCAAGCCGAGTTGAAAGATAAATTTAATATGTAAGTTACTTATAAGAAAGCTTGGTATGAGAAACAAAGAGCATTGGAAAAGTTGCATGGAAATTGGAAAGAATCCGACGATTATTTGTAAACATTCTTGGGGGTGGTCAAGAGAAAAATGCCAACATCAGTGATTTCTTGGGTAAAATTTCCTTCATCGCAACCAGGTCATTTGATCCTCCAGCGAGTATTCTGAGCTTATGGACCTTGTATAGATGGATTGAAGAATTGTCTAGGAGTGCTACTCATGGCGAGCTCATTTGATGGCCGGAAGAAGATTTTTCCAATTGCATTTGCCATAGTCGAGAGCGAGAATACTTATAGTTGGCCATGGTTCATAAGATACGTTCACGATTTGACCGATCAAAACGATGTCTGCATCATCTCAGATACACATGTTGGACTCTATGAAGCCATGAGTAGCATCGGAAGAGGTTGGGAGTGGAGATGGTGCATGCGACACTATGCAAGCAACTTGCAAAAGAATACAAAAAGCAAAATTATGTTAACCAACTGTTTCGAGTCGGTAAGTCTCTTCATCGTTATTGATTTTCAACGTCTTATTTATTTTCATTTAATATTATCATGAATTTATCTAACTCGTGTGGTTATTTATTTTGTTAGCCCGAGAAAAACGCTTGGAGAAGTTCGATCGTCAAGTTGAGCAATTTAAGAGATGGTCGCTGAAAGAAATATTTCTTGTGATAACTGGGTGGATCAAAATTAACTTCGTTGGAGCTTAGCACATGATAACTATAATGGTAGGCGTCGATGGTCTATGTTGACGACCAACATGGCAGAGAGCATCAATGGTATTTTCAATGGTATTCGTTCACTTCCTATAGCTTCTCTTGCGCAACATACTTATTGGCGATTATTGGAGAAATTTGATAAGATGAGGTTGGAGACAGAAGCACAAATCAGAAGTGGGAAGTCACAGTACATGAAACCATGTGAAGATCTGATGAAGCCGTGGGCACAAAAGGAAGTTGGAAATTCCGTGACAGGGGTTGATCGATGTCAGTGCATCTATGTAGTTCAGACTCCTCCCAACAATTTCAACATGACGGGTTCGAAAATCAGGATGTCGACGAGAATCCAAACCTAAAGCAGCAACCCCTGCCGCCATCATGTCGGCCAACTCCATCCTATCGTCGTTGGACAACTCTCCATCCCGTAACCTCAGCTCAGAGTACTCCATGGTGTCGTACTGAAAATTTTATTTAATATATCAAATATTCCACACAACTATGAATTTCAAACAACTAAATTTATTTTGAAACAATAAATAACTAATCGCTGCGTTAACTCCTGCTACTCTCCGTGTGACTGCATGTCTAGTAACATATCGATACCACTCCAGATGCTCCGAGTGGTAGGCTAGAGTATCCTGACTATATGACATAGTCGTTATATACTGATGTCGACGACTCCACAAATCAATCGACTCTCTGGAGGCATGTATCAACCGCTGTCCTCGCGATGGCCAACGAACTGTCTAGCGAAGGAAATACCTAATCTCAGCCTCAAGAGCTTGATGATGAGGCTCATTCTGCATCATGCCAAACTGTCGGGGTACGCGATCTGGATGGTGCCACATCACTACTGAAAAGCAGATCAGTGGAACTACTGCTCGCCTCTCTCCCAGTAAGGCAGCCACTACACACAACAAGTGATCACATTATTACTCATTAATCTAAAACAAACTAATGAGAACTATTCTTGTATGAAATATTATATACTAACCACGATTGTCGACAGCTCGTCAAAAAACAACTTATAATTGAAGAACTGGTCACCATGATGACGGGACATGGTCGGAAGCCATCGAGCACCACGTGGGTATGCGTCCTCTATAATAGGCTCATCCGTCACTGTATGTCGTGGTGCTATCAATGGAAATTGCTCCCACGCTCAGAGCTGTAGTAAGGCGACCCAGCCACCAAGGTCACCTACTGTGAAAGAGGCCTGCATCATCTGCAGAACTAACCTACCCATCTCACGGTAAAGGTAGGCTAAAAGAGCTGCTCCCCAAGCGTAGCCTCCAACTCTCCGCCAATTCTCCAACATGAGTAGATACTGTAGATGAACTGTAGATCCAGTCCGATCGGGGAACAATATACCCCCAATCAGAGATAGGGCATAAACTCGTGCAAACTGCCCTGTAATCTATGATGATGCATTTGGCGGCAGATGATTGAATTGCTCCCTGAGCCAACTAATCCTGACGACACTACCGGAAAGATCAGTAGGAGCATGTCCTAACAGTCTCATACACGTCGCCGACCACTCCTGATCTGGTACGTCTATTATGACGGCCTCACCGTCGATCGGTAGGCCGCTCAGTGTGTCAACATCCTCTAGAGTGATCGTAACCTCACCAAGCGACATGTGGAAGGTCGATGTCTTAAGACGCCAACGCTCTACGAGAGCAGTGATCAAAGATGCATCAATATCAACAGTCATAAGGACCAACTGCTGAACGCTAAACAAACCAGCTGATAGCATCGTATTTGCACGTGTTTTCACTCTGGTTTCCTGCCCATTTTGGCTCGAATTGATTGTTCCTTGGCCTATTTTACGCTAGGTTGTGTTCCTTTGTCATATTTCAGGTCCTAGCACATAAAGTGAAGCATAGGCGCAAGTTTCAAGTCAATCAGAGATCAATTGACGATTCGGGAGAAGAAACTCGGGTATGACCTGAAGAAGAATGGATTTCTACCTCACTTTATGGACAAATAATCATGCAAGCTTGTCATGAAAAGAAAGATGACGAGACTACGAGCGTCTGGGTTCAAACGGCGACTGATTTGGAGTCCGGACGAGGGAGAAACGAAGCTTTGAACAGGAGCGGAGACAGAATTACGGGCAGCCCCTGACAAATTACGGCCGTAATTGGCCAGGGCATGCCCGTAATTTATTGGCCGAGCCTTCTACCCAGAATTCCCTCGCGGTGATAAAATTACGGGCAAGACCCCAAGAATTACGGCCGTAATTCCCAAATTACTGGCGGTAATTGGGAAATTACGGGCGTATCTCCTCCTCCTGCAGCTTAAGTGAAACGTGCGTTTTGGTGTGAATTACGGGCAGGAAGTGATTACGGCCGTAATCCTGCCCGTAATTCGCCCAGAGTCGGGTTTTTGGAGGCAGATTCGAGCCAAGGAAGGGAAATTCGATTTTCTGGGCAAAAACAGAGTTTTAGAGAGAGAAAGAGCGAAGAACAAACCCTAGGAGCTATTTTGGAGTGGATTTCTCATCATTGAAGCCCAGATTGCGTCCCTAGGAGTGAAGATTGACATCCCAGAGCAGATTTTCCTCATCTTTATGAGTATGACTACTCTGATTTCTGTTTTCTCTTCTCTCTCTATGGAGTAGAACCTTTCTCTCATTTGGGTATGAAGAACCCTAGTTCCTTGTGTTAGGGATTTGATTGTAATGACTTGGGATGATATTATTGTTTGATTTTAATCGAATGATGCATGTTTCATGAATTGATTTGAGTCTGATCAGCTTGTCTCAATTTCTGCTTCAACCTGAGATAGATAGAATCTGATTAGGTTGTTAGAGCTTCTTCATTCGATAGTAGGAGATTGGCTATACGAGAGTTAGCCAGTTTACTGCTTTGTACCATAGACCAGGAAACCGGATCGTACCGGCCGGTTCAACCGGTTTAACCGGAAATTGGACTAAAAGCGGCACGGTGGGCTGATTGTGCTGATTTTACCGTGCCGGCCGGTTTTTTCGGTTTGACCGGTTGAACCGGTTGAACCGGCCGGTACGATCCGGTTTCCTGGTCTATGATTCAGCTTCATTCTCCGTATTCTCGTTCAATATGTGGAAAATAATTAAAAAAGAATATTATTTTGCTATTTTTCTATGTTGAAAATGGGTCACCGTGGTTGTATAATGCTTTATTTGGTTCTTTTTTTGATGGATTATATTTTTTATACTATCGCATTTCATTTCTCTATCAATAGTGAAAAACGGTATTTACCGGTACAAAATGGTTGAACCACGGTCGTACCACAAAATACCATACCAGAAAGGAATCCGGTATGATGTCCGGTACGGTTTCCTTTACCATGCTTTGTACTGGTGTTCTTGACGCCAGTAGTGGAGTTCTGTGTTCATAGCCTCAGCTTTCTATCCCGGTGAAGGCTAGTCGTCTGCCGGGTAGTTAGACTGAGATGGCTTGGTCAGCTTAAGAGATTCCAAGCTACTGTCGGATCTTCCGCAGTCTAATCAACAGTAAATCAACCCAGGGAATTGCAATTGAACCTAACCAAGGGGCTAGGGGGACTCAATCCCGAGTGACTCTTACCTGCTTTTGAAAACCGAACCATTTCCTGCTTTCTTACTGCTTTTGCTTTAAACAACAATCACTCGAATTAGTTTGCTAGATAATAGAGAATCACGGAGTAAGCAGTAGATCTAGACCCCGGGTTGATAATATAACTTGCCTGTTACTGCATTCCCGGACTGCGATTCCACTTGGTCGCAGTTTGGTGTTGTGTTTTGGCGTGTCAAGTTTTTGGCGCCGTTGCCGGGGAACCTCTAGATTATTGGGGAAACGTGAGAATTTGTTACTCTAGCTTTTTATTTATTGCACCTTCTTTTCTTTTCCACCCTTGCTTTTCACTTGGGTGTTATGTTTTTGTTGGTGCAGCTCTGAAACATGGATCCTCATGGTTTCTCCAACCATTGGGGGTATCAACCACCATCCGTGTGGTATTACCCCGAGACTTCCTGGAGCAATCAAGGAGGAGAAGAATATGGATTCGGATATCAGTACCAACCCCCCTACTATGGAGAACAACCAAACCCTTGGGAACCTCAAGAACAATATCCTTTTCAAGAAGAGTTCCTGCCACAACCAGCAGAGCCATGCTACACTTCACTGGAAGATCCGAACAAACAATTAAGGCTTCTCGTGGAGCAGCTTGCTCGAGACACTGAGAGAGCATGCTCCAAGATGGATCTTCAAATCCAAGCCCTTGCCTCTTCCGATCCCTCATTGCTCCATGACATGGAGCAGACTGTTCAGCGCTCAGCGAAGCAAACAGAGTGGGTGAAGGAAATTTGCTCACAGCCTGCTCAAGATCACCTTTCTGCTACTTCGCTAGAAGAGGCGGAGGATGACAAGGGCAGCGGGGGAGTTGAGGAGCCTACAGAAGTTATCAGAGAGAACTTCCATGATAATCATGATCATGAAAGTCCTCTGGTGGCAGATCACACCGTTCCTCATTTTTGCTCTAACATGCTGGACCTGTGCGAGGAGATGCAAGATGATTCCCTTGAAGAAATTGCTTGGCGACTTGCTCTCCAATATGTACTAGAAGAAGAAGAGCGCGCAAGGATGAGGAAGAAAGTTGTGGAGGATGAGGAAGAAAGTAAAGAAGAGGTAGTTCTTGATCTTTTCCAAGGGGAGAGACCACATTTTGAAGAAGGTAGGGGGGTTGTGGAGGCAATTGGCGTCCAGGCTGAGGATGAAGTTGAGGTGGAAGAGGCTTGCACCGGGCCTATGTTACATTTGATATCTCCACCAGACTTCGAGGAGCTGCTTAGCAAGGACCAATTTGCGGTGTCTCTTTTCCAGACTAAGACCACATCATCATCAATCCCTCTTGGTGGATACGATGGTGGTCAATCGAATATATCTTATCTGGTTTGGGGCAATGAGACAAGAGCAGATGCGAAGGAGAGGTCTCGTGAGTGGAGACTTCATCTTCCTCAAGGTCACGAGCCGTCTTCATCACCTATCACTTCACTTGCTTGTGACCTGAGACTCCACATTATCGACGAGAACCTCAACTTCAAGGAGGTTTTGGGGTGGACCGAAACTTAGGAGCCACCGTCTAGCTAAGACGTAAAAGAAGCGCTTGTGGGGAGGCAACCCCACCAAGGTTTGTTTTTCTTTTGTTTGTTTTTGTCGGTTTATCCACTTGGAACTATGGTTTCTATCACCCAGTGTGTTTTGCTGATGCTAGCCCCGCTGACTGGTCCACTTCCAGTCCCCCAGCAGTGTTTTAATCCGGTAACATCGTTCCCCTTCTCTTTCCCTCTACTCCATTGAGGGCAATGTCGTGCTTAAGTGTGGGGGGATGCTTTGTATCGGTTGGAATATTTATGATGGTGCTTGGAGCCTAGTCCGCTGTCCGAATCTTACGATTTGAGGGCTCCAAGTACTGCTGTTTGATCATATTGGCACTGTGTTTTGATGGATGAATTGATTGGTTTTCGGATTAATGCATGACAACTTGTTTGCGACTAGGACAACCTATGATGAGGACTGAGACGTGCAGTAGAACGATGTAGGGGTTCAGTTTTTCGACTGTTTGCTTGCCAACTGTGACTTGATCTGACTTGATCTGATTACTTGTTCTTGACAGTCGTTTATGCATCTAGTTCAGGGTATCAGAATGTGAGATAGAGCATATAGGTAGCCATGTGAGATTTGAGCCTGCTCGTTTCTTTCTTGTGCGATAGATCCCTCTTCCATGATGTGTAGCATTCACGTTGTCACTAGCTAAGATGATGGGGGCATAGGATTAGCCCACGCCCAAAAACTGACTGTCCTGATGTGTCATATCCCCTAGTCAGCCCCTTTGAGCCGTGTGTTATCCTTTCTTTTGGTCTATAATGAAAAAAAAATCACCCTTGTTGCATCTTTTAGAAGGTTCCACAGAGTGGTTTTTACATATTCTCTGCTGTTTCTGCTTAAGTCTATGTGAGTGTTGGAGGTAGTGCTTAAAAGTTGGGCAGGTGTTTGAAATTTATGCAGAAGTGGTGGCTCTCTTAAGAAATGAAAAGAAAAATGAAAGGCAAACAAAGAAAAATTGAAAGCAAAAAGAGAGCCACTACCAAAAATCTGAGTAATGCCCAGTAAATAGTGTTTCTTAGCAGTCTGGCTTGGAAATGCTGATGTTTATGCCTCCTTCGCTCTTGTACTCTTAAGATGTTGAGTAACGCAGATTAGCAGAAAGAAAATACCGGTTTGTTTGACTGTGATTGTGTGTTTGGAAAATGTGGAACCTTTTGCTATGAATACTTCCACCACCTAAAAGGCCTTTTCCCCATGTCCAAGACCCTAGCCAGTCATTTGAACCTGTGTCTAAGACCTCCTGATTAGTTAGTGGTGACACCCCATATGTGAACTCTAGCATTTAGAGGCTGCCATCATGGTGAAGAGATGATAGGGATTGAGAGAAATAGCATGCGCATTTTTCGCATTAAATTGTCCTGACCCACTGGTCGAGAGTGAGTGATTCATTTTCATATTCTCTATACTCTTGTACCCCGGTGAGGACCTAGATTGCTCGGTCTCTGTTCTGATGTCTTGAGTTGGATGCATGAGTTGACTGTTTTGAGTGAGTGGTCGAGCCAAGTCTGGGTTGGTTGGTGAACAGAAGGGAAACTCTTCCGTTGCTCGATTTTGCTGCACTCGAATGTCCTTTGTGGTGGTTGTTCAGGTTGCTATTAAAGTTGTTCATGTGTTGATGTTTGAAAACCAGTTTGATTCACGTGTTCTGTGCCTTTATGACTTGTCCCCAATGTTGGTTGATTGAAATATGTGAGCTTACCTTGTGTAGTACTTGGTTTGCTTGGGGACAAGCAAATAGTTAAGTGTGGGGGAATTTGATAGCATCGTATTTGCACGTGTTTTCACTCTGGTTTCCTGCCCATTTTGGATCGAATTGATTGTTCCTTGGCCTATTTTACGCTAGGTTGTGTTCCTTTGTCATATTTCAGGTCCTAGCACATAAAGTAAAGCATAGGCGCAAGTTTCAAGTCAATCAGAGATCAATTGACGATTCGGGAGAAGAAACTCGGGTATGACCTGAAGAAGAATGGATTTCTACCTCACTTTATGGACAAATAATCATGCAAGCTTGTCATGAAAAGAAAGAGGACGAGACTACGAGCGTCTGGGTTCAAACGGCGACTGATTTGGAGTCCGGACGAGGGAGAAACGAAGCTTTGAACAGGAGCGGAGACAGAATTACGGGCAGCACCTGACAAATTACGGCCGTAATTGGCCAGGGCATGCCCGTAATTTATTGGCCGAGCCTTCTACCCAGAATTCCCTCGCGGTGATAAAATTACGGGCAAGACCCCAAGAATTACGGCCGTAATTCCCAAATTACTGGCGGTAATTGGGAAATTACGGGCGTATCTCCTCCTCCTGCAGCTTAAGTGAAACGTGCGTTTTGGTGTGAATTACGGGCAGGAAGTGATTACGGCCGTAATCCTGCCCGTAATTCGCCCAGAGTCGGGTTTTTGGAGGCAGATTCGAGCCAAGGAAGGGAAATTCGATTTTCTGGGCAAAAACAGAGTTTTAGAGAGAGAAAGAGCGAAGAACAAACCCTAGGAGCTATTTTGGAGTGGATTTCTCATCATTGAAGCCCAGATTGCGTCCCTAGGAGTGAAGATTGACATCCCAGAGCAGATTTTCCTCATCTTTATGAGTATGACTACTCTGATTTCTGTTTTCTCTTCTCTCTCTATGGAGTAGAACCTTTCTCTCACTTGGGTATGAAGAACCCTAGTTCCTTGTGTTAGGGATTTGATTGTAATGACTTGTGATGATATTATTGTTTGCTTTTAATCGAATGATGCATGTTTCATGAATTGATTTGAGTCTGATCAGCTTGTCTCAATTTCTGCTTCAACCTGAGATAGATAGAATCTGATTAGGTTGTTAGAGCTTCTTCATTCGATAGTAGGAGATTGGCTATACGAGAGTTAGCCAGTTTACTGCTTTGTACTGGTGTTCTTGACGCCAGTAGTGGAGTTCTGTGTTCATAGCCTCAGCTTTCTATCCCGGTGAAGGCTAGTCGTCTGCCGGGTAGTTAGACTGAGAGGGCTTGGTCAGCTTAAGAGATTCCAAGCTACTGTCGGATCTTCCGCAGTCTAATCAACAGTAAATCAACCCAGGGAATTGCAATTGAACCTAACCAAGGGGCTAGGGGGACTCAATCCCGAGTGACTCTTACCTGCTTTTGAAAACCGAACCATTTCCTGCTTTCTTACTGCTTTTGCTTTAAACAACAATCACTCGAATTAGTTTGCTAGATAATAGAGAATCACGGAGTAAGCAGTAGATCTAGACCCCGGGTTGATAATATAACTTGCCTGTTACTGCATTCCCGGACTGCGATTCCACTTGGTCGCAGTTTGGTGTTGTGTTTTGGCGTGTCACCAGCCTCCTGCAGATACGGCTCATAACGTGGATGGTACGTGACCAAATTGGTCGTACCTCGAATATGGTAAATGCGATTACCAGCCTATAGTGCATAAAACTTATATTAACTCAATTTCTTGCGTAATTCTATTTTCAGTTCACCTAGTAAAATCTATCTAATCTAGTAAAATATATCTAATCAAAACTAATACTAATTTCAAAAAAATTCACATACAATTCTAATATTTCAGTTCACCTAGTAAAAATCTAAACATCTAATCTAACTAACTAATGAACTTTAATGAAATACTTACCCCGTTTTGCCAAATTGAGTCCACATGATGTTGACCATATGCCCAAAGAAGTATCGAATCGTCTGGAGCTGGATCAATAGTCGTAGGTGGCCGCCTCGTGGAATACGTGTCCAGAAGTCTAGGAACTGCAAAAAAAAAAAAAAAAAAATCAAAAACAGAAAAACCCGTCTCCGGCGAGATTTCGGCCCTGCCGCTGACGAGATTCCGGCCGCCGTCAGCGAGAATCCGACGAACATCAGACCATCAGCGGTCAGCTCACTTCATTACCGGCCGCGTGCTTGGCGGCCGCCTATTCTTCGTCGGAGTCAGACATACAAACCAGATCTGGTTTCTGGTTTAGGCGCTTCTACGTGAGACTGGGATGCTCCCGCACCTGGCGAAGAGGTCCCACGGCGGAGAGTGCGACCTCGTGCGAGACTGGACAGAAGACGCGGGAGGTTGGGGTATGGGTTCGCGGCGCTGCGCGGCGCTGCGTAGGGTTTTGGGAGGGAGAGGTTTTGTGTTGGTGGTCTGCTCCGGGAGGTTGGGGAAGAAGATAAAGAGTAAAGAAATGGCAATGCATGCTCGCATAAGACTCGCGCGGGTCTGCAAGTCCCTTGTAAGGATCCGCTTTTCTGAAGGCTCTTTTTGAGTCTCATGCGAACACGCATGTCTTCCCCCAAAAAACACAATATCTGTGTCAATAAATTTAAAACCACCATATTGGTGGTAAATAAAAAAAAGGACAATATTTTGAGAATTTACCCTCTACCATTTGGGGTGACACTCGGTCCGGTTATAACCGAAACCGTTTAGTCGGTTCCCAGTTAACCGTTAATCACTCTATACTTACCGTCAACCGCACCGTTTATATTAGTCGGTTAACCGTCCGTGTAGTCGGTTACCGGTTATTTTGTCGGTTAATCGGATAATCGTTAAGCAAGTTATTCGGCAAAGTTATACCAAAATAACCGATCGGTAACCTAACCAACAGACGACCGCCTCCTTTTTTCAATTGTGCATTTGTGTAGATTTTTTTTCCTACACATGTACGTGTTCTTCTTTTAAGTTGTTATCATTGAACAAAAATAATTTAACATAGAAATCAATCCATGATTAATTCAATCCAACACAAGTACGCAATAACATCATTCTACCATCAAATTTGATTAAAGAAGCAAAACAAGAATACGATACCCAACAACAATTACTCAGCTCATAAATCCCACCAAATTGCTTAAATATTATGGATTGTTGTTGAAATACAGTGTGTAAGCCAAACTTCTACTGTGCTCCTTTGAAAGTCCTTCCTTAACATTGTTCTCATTTGAACCTAAGTCACTATTACAACTAGGTAGGTAATGGATCTTGTCAGCCTTCAAAAGCCCCATTATTTTTGGCCTATGCATGCGCCTCATCGACACCTATTATCTTTTTGCTCTAACTATTAGGATGGTCGTAATTGGTTAACCGTTTAACCGTCGGTTATTAATTAGCTAAATTCTGCTACCGAGAGGATAACTGTTTACTAGCCTTATCGACCGTTAAACAATAGTATTAATTCATTGGTTAATGGTATACCATGGTTATCCTTCTGATGAAATGTCGGTCGGTTGAACATGTTATAGTCGGTGTCGATGATGAAAGAAGTTTGAATATCATCGGTAGCGAATACATATTGTGCTTAAGATTGATTGTAAAAAGGAAGTTTAGGGAGTGTAGAATACCTTGCTTCGATTATGGAACTTAATCGATCCACGAATTTTGAATTCGAACCGAGCCATTATTTGTCCCTTATTGCATGCTGCTAGTGGTTTTCCTAACCATCCACGACAATATGAGGAACTCGCTCCATCTAGGGGTGTTCAAACGATTTGGTTACCATGGTAACCGTTTTAACCAGTACTATTTGGATAATTTGGTTTGGTTAATTTGGATAATTGGTTTAGTTTGGTTAAAGTTTTTAGCTTGTTTGGTTTGGTTTCAGACACTCCTAACCAGTCAAACCAAATTAACCAGTTAAGTAATTAGTCATATATCTAACATATATTATATACACATACTTAATAATTTGCATAACCACTCAAGAGTTAACGTTCATCCCTTTTAGACTCATAAAATATAAAGCTCAATATTGCTCATATAGTGTATATTTGTATATGTAAAATGTAGACCACAACATATGGACGCCTAATTTAGATAAATTTCATACATTATGATGGATGAAAACTTGAAAGGAATGTCATTTCCAGCATATGATAATTGCTAAGAGACTAAGTCAATTTACACAAACACAACAATTTATTAACCCCATTGTCATAAATTTTTGATAGGTGAATACTTCTATAATCGTAAGATAATTGTCTTAGTTGCATGTATTTTTGTTAAGAGTCAACTATAACTACGTGTTGATTGTTATGTTTTATTCATTATATAAATTGCGAATTGTTATATTAACCGGAAAATTTTCATCGTCAATGATAATGTGATTTTATATTGGTTAATCTGGTTAATCAATTAACCAAACTGATTAAATTTTAGTTTGGTTAATTTGGTTGCTGTATTAGTTTGGACGGTTTGATTATGATATTGTATTCCATGGTTAATGAAATTTAGCCTTATTTAGTTTGGTTATAACCATGGTAACCATTTGAATCGATCAATTCAACAAATAATCTTCATCCCATTTTCTCCGCATGCACTTTGAGCGATATGTGAACAGTAAGTAACTATGTGTTCCTTCAGATTGAAGCAAAGATGAAATTTTCTTTACAACTTTTACTTCAGAGTCCGACTTTATGCAAATCATTCTAATATAATTCCTATACTTCGACAGAGCCTTTAAAATCGTTAAAAAGACTGCTGCTCCGATATGGAGCTATCCGCTCAAATGTCTTCGTTAGAGGCCCAAACAAATCATTCTCGATAAACTCGTACCTGCAAGAAAATTTAACACAATGAACATTGATCTCTGCTACCAAACGACTCCCCAAGGCATTAGTAGTTTTGGGAAAGAGTCAGAGAGAAGGGAGCTCACAGATTTCTGCAGAGGTTATCAGTAGAAACCACAACAGCCTGCACCTTATCTCTCAAGTCCAGAACCCCAGCAACTAGAAACTCATCAAACTTCTCCTCCAGCAGCTTCGACAGCATCTCGACGTTCGCCTCCAGCAGCTGCTGTCGATCCTCGAACAATGTCTTGTTCAGGTCCATCTCCTTCTCTTCGCTCATCTCGTCTTTAAACAGCCCGCCAAACATGTAGTAAGCGAATGGGTACGAGTGCGCGAGGATCCTCCTCGACCGGACCAGCCTGAAGAACGCCTTTTGCACCCAAGAGATATCCAGGGTCGACTCTTTGTCCTCCAAGGTCGACACTTTCTTCATCACGGTCTGCTCCTGCTTCGACTCGAGCTTCAGTGAGTCGAGGTGGGCTTTGTACCTGTCGTAGTAGTGCATGTAGCGGTCGAGCTCCTTCTTGACGGTCTCCGCTTTCTTCTTGTGGTCTTCCTTGTATCGCCCGCAGCTGTGGTAGGCGATGCTGTCCCAGGAGTGCTCTCTTCCAGTAGCAGCACCACAGAGCCAACTGCATCGAGACTCGAGAGTGAAACCCGAAGAAGAAAACGTGCCCCATCAGTTAAGTGAAACAGAAGCATATCACTGTAGTATAACGAAGAACATTGTTCATGTCAATTGTCGAGGTAATAACAGTGGAGGTGGATGGCTATGTTTAGCATTTCTATACTTTTAGAAAGTCCACCAATCCACTCCTACAATCAGACATCCAACCTACAAAATTTTGAAATCCATGAGTTTCAAAACCCAGTACTTTTCAAGTCCAAGGATCTTGTACCGTGCATCACTTTTCAAATCCTACAGCCAGAAGACCCCTAAACTCTGCCTCCTACGAAAAAATTTAGACTTGAAGAAAAGGTTACCAGAATGCCTGCTGACAAGTACAGATCACTAGATTGCATCCACCGTCCTTCTGGACTGCTTTGTGGCATTTGGGGCAAGGTTTCGTGTTGACGGTGATCCAGCTGTTGGTAGCATCCTGGCTCTTCTTCGTCCATAACTCCCACATTCGACACGAGCAAGGGGAATGTGCGTCAGCAGCGCAGCTGAAACAGAACTGCAGACCACACTCACACTGAACCTCACAAACCAGATCATCAGCCTCGACCTGAACCGCATTCCCACAGTGAGGCACGCTCGGGCACCATTTCACTCTTCTGTTGTCTTCTATGTACGAGTCCAACACAAACTGCTCAAACTTATCCGCCAAATTAGGATCCGCGGACCTCACCAAGTTCCTAATGTGCACTTCATCGCATATGCATTCACATCTTGGTGCCATGCATTTTATTCTTCTACCTTGCCCTTCTTGGATCTTCACAACAAAATGTCGAGTCCAACCTAAACCAAAACCATCATCCATAAACATTCAACTCACTAGACTGCACAAAAGCCCTTCATCTAAACTCAAACCTAGAACCTAAAAATCAACCGAATTTGGTCCAGTGAGCTTACATGCGTCGCAGAAGAAGTGCCCACAATCCATAGCAGTCACTTCGTTGACCGACACCTCCTCGTAGCAAATACAGCAATCGATTATGGAAGGTGACTGTACAGCACTGCCCTCCATGTTTCTCAACCCTGCTTTGGAGTACAGTCTTTCTTTCCCATGCTCCACGAGGTACTCAAGCAACACATCCACATCCCATCTATAATGAATCAGTAAAGTCCGTGCGTGTTTCTCCTTGACAGAGAAGTACTCCATCACTCTTTGTAAATCCTTCTTCTGCAATTCAACCACAAATGAAAGGGTTCAACAGACAAAAACCCTAATAAAAGCAGGGGTCTTTACTTTTTACAGATTTTCTAAATCAATTTCTTCAGACATTCCAGTAAGAATCTCACCTGCGCGGTTAGGAGAGACTCTCTCGTGATCACCTGCAACAAGAAACGAAAAACTACCCATAAACAAACAAACCCAAATCCCCAATTTCGCTCTTCGTTACTCAATTTGATCGATCAGAGAAAGAGGGGAAAACTCAAAACTACAGTTCTACAACCAACCAACCAACCTTATAGGGAAGAGAAGTATCGGCGCTACGCTCCACACTCTCCGACGGAGACCGACCCGACGAGCATCCGCAGTCATCGTCGTCGACGAGAAAATCTTCCTCGTCGTATCCGTAAGACCAGTCATCACCTCCGCTCGCGTAATCTTCTCCCATTGCAAGCAACCCGAAATTCAATTCCGGCGGCGGCGACAGTGAGAAGCTCGTTTCCAATGGGTTGAGTCGTTCCCGGCAGTGTTTTGCTTGGAGCCGGGGCTCCGAGTTTGGGAATGGAGGGGATAGTGATTGAGTTTATGACGGGTAACCGAGTGGCGCGGGAAGCCGTTTGGGATCGCACACCCGGGAGGCTGTGATCGACCCAGGTGGAAGTTTGGAACGGCAGGCGGAAATCTGTTTTGGTTTGGTGGGCCTGCTAGCGACTCCGGAAAATCCAGCCTTTGAATCTTCTTTCTTGATTCTTTCCTCATATTGGGAGACCACCACATTCCCACCATTGTTTAACCACCATCTTTATTCTTTAATTACATAAAAAAATAATAATAATCAGTCATATAAAATTGCAGTGTTAATATAAAGCTTTATAAGGATCTGAATCTGATTGGAAGTTTATACAAATGTTTGTATGTCACAGAAATTGAGAGTGTATTATACAAGTCTTTAATAGGAATGTCAATGTTACAGGTTTGAGGCGGGTGTTTCGATACTCATACTCGTTCCGTGGCAGGTCAATTATCATGGGACACAGATCGAGAATAGGTCGATACATATGGTATGTAATTTTAAAGAAAAACATTAAATGTTCATTTTTTTTCCATTAAAACTTCTAGAAACAAACTATGGTATGATAAATATAATTAAATTATTCAATGAATTGAGGTTCTTACTTATTTTTCACTTCATTATAGCTAAAATATGAGGTAATTAAAGTAAAATTCTAAGTTATTTGAGTAAACTTATATGTAATTTAGACAAAAATGAATCGAGAATGAGGCGATTTAAGGCAGGTTAGGTTAAAGAGAGTACACATGACCGACCCCGCATACGAGACTTGCATTAATCAGCCCAAAAAGATCAAACAGATTGAGTAAAACGAATCACATCAAAATTATAATTTTAATGATAAATTATTGGTTATTAAAGTTTGACAAAATTGGTGGAGGAATGAAACACGTATGACCAAAGTCAATATTTTGAGGATGGCTGCCGGCTGGTAGTGTTAGATTGGACAAAGGGTGCAATGGAAGTTGAAGTTGTTGCTTTGGAGAGGATGGCTTACAACTTGGGCTAAACAAGCAGTGGCCGATTACACCAAGAGGCGTATACGTCTATGGCTCTTTTCTTTTCTGCTTTGGTGCTTTGCTAACCAAATTCCGTTTTGTTAACTCTATTTTAATGCTCACGTCAAATTCACACATCAACTTGCCTGATGGTGTTTGAATTTTGTATGAGCCTATCGTGTCGCTTTTTTGGATTTCAGAATCTTAATGATTTCATAGAAAAAACGACACATGTAATGATTACAACAAGTAATCGTCATATGCAACATCAATTCAACATCACATATCTTTCAAGCATTTTAGGATGAGATAAAAGACCATCCACGTCAATCCAATTCAAACAGTTAAGAAGCTACTAGCTAGAACCCTCCAAGGTGGATGCTCTAACCATAATGAGGTATTTCATGATTAGATTAGGGTACGGCCCGTTGGCCGGATAAAAGAGAGAATTTAATAATTTTATTTGTCATATACCATTGATATTGAAAAAAATGTGTATTATTAATGTGATAAATATATATTTTATGAATATACAATTGTGTATTATGAAATGTGATGGATACTATCATGATGATTTATTTATTTGAAATAAGCGATGAACATTCAAGTTTGTTCCATTCAAAAATTTAGGGAAAATTCACTAAAACTCCAAGAATCTACCATGTCTTATTCAAAACAATACAAAAATGTATTATTTTTTTTATATGTTTATGTGATATATATGATTCTTAGTTAATCTAATACATTCTTCTTTTATATGTGGGCATCCAAGTAAAAGATCTTTTTTTTTTTGGTCTCATTCGATCTGGTGCATTTTCATACTAAATGTCAATGAATCATATTTTTCATTTTCTACTTAGTGGGCAAGAAAATTAAACTAAGAAGTACATTGTACCAAACCTTATTCATCAACACTTGAGTAGCCTCTTGGTGGCTCAGTTAAATTTTCAAGTCTTGTGGGATAAGTTTTTCAAACGTTTTTAATTGTGACATTTATATTGTCGTCATTAATACTTATCCTACGAAAATAACTTATCCCCAACACAACATCTTTTTGCTACTCAATTTATATAAATCAATTTCAATAATACAATATTCATATTGATGACTTGAAATTAAAACTTATAAGTTTAATTCAATTTAGGTTGGGCACTAAGAATTATAAGTTCTGATGGGAATAAGATTATACATAAACAAAATGTTTTCATTTTGGAGACGTGTTTATGATGATGAGATACAAAAATAGATCATGGTGACATAACTTAAAACATCATTGCAATATTTTTTCTTATCACTACTGTGTATTTCTTGATTGGTTGGTAACAATAATACCATAAAAAAAATTATTGAATGATAAAAAAATACCACAAAGTGAGTATCAATGGCTCAAAAGATAAAATACCAAACAGAAGCCATGCTCAGGTAATAACTAATAACTGCACTTATAATTCCCCGGGGAAAGTAATTGTGAAGTAGAAGGACATAAATAGCCTTCCGTGAAGTGCGCAGGAACCTCAATTTTCTAAACTGACCCCTTCTCTCTTGGAATGTGCTTACATTAGTGTGTAGATAGATGTAGATTGTGAGTATTTCACCGTTCTGATTCAATCAATACAATGCATTGACGGGGTAATGAGACGGATATGCGTAAAGGTCGTAATAATTTGATGAGTGTTAGTTGAGTATGGTTTAAGCCTCACCCGATCCTTAAAGAATTTTTTTCCTCAAAATAATGACAAGGTAAAATAGTTATAACCTCTACCCAGAATCCCCCAAGCAACAACTAGTGAAGTCACCCTACAATGTCAAAGGAAGCTATCTCTACAAAGGACAGCTGGCAGCCCAGTTGACAACCCGTGGGACCGACCTAAATTCAATACAAGAAGTACAAGAACTCAATAGATGAAAACAGTCACAAAGTAAGGGGCCGCCCACCGAGTCTTCACAACAACTACCGTCAAGTTGTTGAATGACCACTTCAGAATCAACTTCAATAATGACTCGAGGAAGGTTTCGGGATAGCTCTAGTGAAATGGCGTCCCTGGAAGCAAGCAACTCTGCAAGGTAAGGATTCGACACTCCTGGATGTTGTAATCCCCAAGGCCAAAGAGACTTGTCTGTCCCTCGAATGACAAGGCCGGACGAGCAACCCGAATCTCGAACAACATCGTCGAAGTTGATCTTGATGAAGCCTTCAGGAGAGCAAACCCAGGTGGCGAGACGGGAGGGTGCTAGGCGAGGCGATGGAATCTGGGATTGGAGGGAGGCTCATGAATATTCACGAACTTGGAAAAAGAATTGACGAGCAAGAGAACTGGCTTGTGGTTGAGTGAATTCAAAGACCACTTTATTTCTAGACTTCCAAATTCTCCAAAGAAGACAAACGCAGTGGAGAAAGTGGATTTTGAAGCTTTCTGACGTCATAACATGTCGCCACCAAATACCAATTTTTTTGGTTGGGGCAGAAAAAAACAAACCACTTAATTCCACCATAGTCGTGCGATGAACAACATGTGGACAATGGAAAAGAGGTGTTCTATACTCTCTTGACTATCCCAACAAACTGGGCAGCGTACAGGAAAATTAATTCCACGAGAACTAAGGGCCACCATTGTTGGTAGGGGTGAACAAAGTAACATGCGACCCGTCCCACCCGCCCGGACCAAGATGGACGGTTTTCTGATCTAGTAAAAGCAAATTATAAAATACATGGGCGGTGCGGGTTGAAAGAGTTTTGGTAAGTCATTACCCGACCCAACCCATTAATAAATCTCACCAAGTTTTTTGGAGTTCGTTTTGTTCAAGCACACAAACACATGAGAGATGAGAGAGACAGGAAAAGGGAATTTTGGGTATGCCCATACGAGAGACCATAGTCCATTATGAGTTCATATGTACATTTCTCCCCAGAACACAGCTGGACATTACGTGGCCCTAGAACCAACCAACATTATCAAGCGTAATATATAATAGAGAAAGATTGTGTGAAGGCTTGATTGGGTTGGATTTTGGTCGGGTTTATAGTTTAATCCGAACCGACCCAAACCGTCGGGTTTCTGATTTTATTGGGTGGGTTTGGTTTCATAATGTGTAAACCGTGGTGTATGGGTTGGGTGACTAAAGTGGTCGAAACCCAACCCAACCGACTCATGTACACCCCTAATTGTTGGTAGAACTACTTTCAAACATTGTCATAGAAAGAACTTTAGTTTAGGTGGGATATCAAGCGCCCAAGCTCTGTTCCAAGTAGGTAGGCCTATTAAATGAGCCACTGACTCCGGCTAGCTATCAAGATATTTTCCAAAGCAAGATGGTAGCCTGTTTTTACCGAATAAGACCCATTTTTCGTGAAATGCAAAATTTGTTTATCTTGTTGTGGTAGTATGGGAACTGCCATCTTACAAATGAGTTCTACTAATTACTCCGTGAAGCAATATCTTAGTCTAGGGACATGCCCTACCCCTTGTCCTTCTCTAATAAAAAAAGACACTCTCGGACTATTATTGACTTTTTAGAGTCTCAGTTCGCAAGGGGAGGGCTTATCAGATAATAACCAATTATCTTTGAAAAAATCTATATCTTTTCCATCCCCTACCTGTCAAAGCATTCCTTGTAGGAGGAGGTCTAGTCCAAATAAAATGCTTCTCCACCCCCAAGAAGGGTTAGAGCCTATGGAAGCTTTCAAGATTATACTTTGACTGAAGTACCTTCCTTTATACAAATGACTAAGAAGTGAGTCAGGATCTGACCAAATGCGACAGGAAATCTTAGCTAATAGAGCTTGATTAAATGCCCTAAAATCCATGAAACCTAGCCCTCCGTGAAATTTACTTTGAGATAAATCTTTCCAAGAAACCCAGTGAATTGGATGGTCAAAATTATGAGAGGATCACCACCAAAACCTTGCCAAATGCCAATTTAAACGTCGACAAGTGTCAACCGGGAACTTAAAGCAAGAAATACCGTGGACTGGTATATTAGTAGTCAAAGTCCTTATTAGATTATCATTGTCAGCCTTTGAGAGGGTATGTTGTTTCCAGCCTTGCAACTTTTTGCACAGCTTTTCCTCAATAAAGAGAAAATTATCCTTTTTAGTTCTTGGTATTAGGGAGGGTAAACCTAATAAGAGTC